AATAAATCTTATAATAATTAATTTTCTTGTGTGTTATTTTAATGTAATTCTCCTTTAAAATTAATCTTCTTATTATGAGATCTTTACTTGTCATTCTTCTAAAAAATTGCTTTCCTTTTCTTCTAATTTTTTCAAACCAAAAAAACTCTCCTCTTTCCCTTCTCCTTCCCTCCCTCTCAGAACCTCAGAATTTAAACACCATTGCTCTGTGCCTTTGTTATGATTCTCAACCAGGAAAACACACACAAAGATGTGTGATGTTTATAGGGAGAATTTCATCCAAAGATTACAATAATCAGTTATTTTCAAATTAGATTCAAAAAATTTTGAAAATATGTTGCAAGATTTTGGAAATGAAATGAAATGTTGAAATTTATAACCAAAATGTCCTTCTTGAAATATTCATACAAATTATTAACTTATAAAATTGCTAGCATTACTTATTAATTCATTTTTATGACTTATTACGTCTCTACTATTATTTGCATTTTGTCTAACTTGTTTTAAATTCTTCTATAAACACTTGTTAAAATATTAATTTTACTTATAAAATTGCAAATATTCCTTGTTAATTTCTTAATATCCTATTATTTGTTAAGACATGTAACGTAATGATGTTTGATAGAAAAAAAAATCATTTACTTTTAATTATAAAATGATCAAAGCTCAAAATTTTCCATTCATTTGTTTGAGAAAAATTACTTTTAGATTCCAAGCCTTCATCTTGTCCCCTAAAATTATAACTTTAAAACGTGAACCACGTAACAAAATACACGGAGTTTTTAAAACTTACTTGAAATAATAAAATACGTAGAATTGATCTACTCCATACATAGACGCATTTTTTGTATTATTCTCCTTTTGTATATATAAATACAAAAAATATATAAAAATTACATTTTAAATTCATGTTGCTCAACTTTGTAACACCACTTAACCATCATTTCTGAACAACAGGATTTTTATCCATGAGATAAAATTCACATCAACATATGAAAATACGTAATAAAATTTAGATCAAGTTAAAATTATTCGCATCACAATTGATCTATGAACAATACAGTGCATGTCTCAATTTTTATACAAGAGTTTTAACTTTTAAGTAGATTTGGGGGGAAAATTAAGTAAAACTACACAAACGAATTAACTTTATCAATTAAAAACCTTTATTAGAAAATGATATTTGAAAATACTTTTATCATTACGTTAGGCGTCATTAATTCGGTCTTCAGATTCAAAAGCCTCAATTAACCTGTTATTCTCTATTGACTGATTGACTCCTCTTCCAAACTACCCCCTCTGTTTTCATTTATAGATGAAATTATTACTTCTAATTTATTTTTATATAACTAAAATGACAAACATTTATTACAAATTCTTTAAATTACTCATCATATTTCATCATTTATAGTTATAAGAATCAATTAATGAAGAGTAATTTAGTTTAACTTTTTTATTTTCAAATACAATTAATATAATTAACTAATTTTTTTAAATTGTATGATGTAGGTTCTTTCTGGTATAAATAAAAATGGGGAGAGTAATTACAAGACTTTATAAAAAGAAAAGCCTTTAGGCTTTGGCTTTACTTTCCTGGCAGCTTAATGAATACTTTAACTAAAGCCTTTCTTCATCACATGATTCACATCGTTATTTCTCGAGAAAAGTATTAGTGCACGACAAAAGCACGAGTCGGTTGGTGGCTGGCTACAATAATTCCTTCGTTCAATTCCATAAAATTAACCATATAATAATATTGATGATGATCATATGTAAAAGACTCGCAACTTGTGCAGCAAAATTAAAAATGATGAGGTCACTTCAATCTATGTGTAACAAAATTATACATATTTCCACCACAAAGTCTCAATTTTAGAGTTGAGGCCTTGAGTAGGAAGGAGGGAAATGGGAGAAGAAAAAATTAAGAAAAATGACAAATAAGAAGCAGGTAAAAAATTAATGTTAAATTATGATCTCTTCATGATTAAAATTCTCAAATCCATTTTCACACTTCAGCTAATTAGCACAATGTGTTTTGCTTTGCTTTGCTTTTACACTTCTTCCATTTAATCTAATTGTTTACCTTTGCACCATAGTTCCTCATCTTAATACTTTCCAAAGGATCATTTAATGACCAAAATGCATGCCCCCAACATAACCTTAAACCAAAATATCTGTAAATTAACTTGAAAATATCAAAATCAAGCCATGGTGTGAATTTTCAAAATGATATGTATATTTTCTTAGTTTGATTATTCAAAATGTGTATACTTGTGTTAAAATATATTAAAAATTTAAAGAAAATGTTATGAAATAATGTGAAATTATAGTGGTTAACAATTACTATTTTCAAGGCATCCAAAGCTAAGGTGTGAACTTACAAATAAATGAGGGCAATATCATTACATCAACATGGTAAAAAAAAAAAATTTGTTTTGGGATCCTATTAATTAACAAAGACATGGCTTCACCATCTTATTAAAAAAGTTCTTGGCCATGCTTCCTTTGAGAAATTTGGAGATTTCACATCCACCAAATACAAGAAGACCATTTGATATAATTTCAGCGCAATGGTTACTATAGAACTCGCCTTGTTGTCTATTTTCAGTACATTACACCTTCCCTCAGCTGGAGTCTTCCTCTGTTATGTGTCAATAATATTTGTAGTTGATCCACCTACAAGGCTCTACAATTTTGACTCTTCAATGTGAGAATGAAAAGTATAAGATACTCTATTTTGGTTTTTCATCTATTCTCATGCAGATCATTAACTTTTTTTTTTTGGGAGAATTTTACCAAAGAAAAAGGGATGTGAGATAATAATAAATAAGGTTTATTATAATATAAAATTTTAACTTAGTCTGGAAGAATTGAAACGAAATTAATTTAAATGAAGAAATAAATGAAATAACCCTTGTTTAAACATTAAAAAAAGCAACATTTAGATTTACATGTGATGTTGGGAACTTAGCATCTGAAGTTGCTTCATATTTATGAAGCAACATCATTTATTAATTTCCTAATTTTATTTATTAATTTTTCAACATCACTTAAAAATTATTTTACTTGACTTGATGATTCTTGATTTGTTAAGTAAGTTTATGTTGATTTACAAAGCAATATTAGTTATTAATTTTTTTAACTTTACTTGTTCATTTTTCAACATCACTTATAAATTACTTTACTTGACTTTTTAATTCTTGAGAAAATAAAAAGACTATTCAATTAGTTTATTCAAATTTATGAAATAACTTCTATTATTAATTTACCAACTTTAATTATTAATTCACCAACATTACATATATGTAAATCTAATCCCTATTTTTTTAATATGTAAACAAAGGATATTTCAATCAAGTCATCATTTAAATTAATTTTATATCAGTCTTCTAGAGACCAAGCTGAAATTTCAAATTTTAATAAGCCTTATTTATTATTATGTTATATCCCTGGGCCTCTCGTAAAATTCTCGCATTTTGATTCATATTCAATGTGAGACAAAAGCAATTGGAAACAAGTCAGGAGGTTTGTCTTAATCATTAATACTCTTCGGTATTTCAGAAATAAAAAACCTCATGATCTACACAATCTAGTACAACATAATTTGCATTACATAGCATGGCTTCACAATTCACATGCAATAGAACATATAATAGTTCATTGGCATTGCTCTAAAAGAAGACAAATGGAACATTAATGGTCCGTAAATTAAAAGTTACTCCCTTCATTTAAAAATATAAAATATTTTTTAAAAAATTAGATGTTAAAAAATATAAGGCATTTTTAATTTTTTGAGATATAATTATTATCTTTTTTTTTTCAAATGTACCCCTATGAATGAATGATTTTATATTTATTATAAGGTATTTAATAGGAGTAAATATGGAGAAATATGATTAGTTTAAAAGTATATAACTATTTTATTGGGAGATAACAATTGATTAAAAATACTTTACATTTTTAAATGGAGAGAGTATCAAATATATCCCTTCTTATTGTGTGGGCTTATTTCAATTTAATCTCTGAACCCTATAACTTAGTTTTGACTTTAGACTCACTCACTCATTAAAAAATACTTACTTCATTCAATATTATAATATATTTTTAATCAAATTATACCCATAATGATTTAGTAGTTAATTGTCTTTAAACTTACACACTACTTTTTCCATATTTATTCTTATTTAATAGGATATTTTTTTAAAAAAATTTTATTAATCACACCCCTAATTAAGAGTTATTTTGACAAAAAGAACCTCATTAATTATATATTGAAAATCACAAAATGCGTTATATTTTAGTACATCTCACTTTAAGAAAAAAAAAATGTCTTATAATTTTTAATTGGAAGGGTGGGCAAAGAAGTGGGTGAAATTTTTTAAAATTTGCTCACATTATCCCAATAATTTTGAACCACCCAAACTATAAAATATATTTGAATTAAAAAAATAGGGTCTTTTGTATTTCACTTAAAATAAATAATTTTAAATTTTAATCTATTAGATTTAAATTTAGATTATTTTTAGAAGAACATCATTTTAATTACTTTACAAAACTAAATATTTATTTTATATATTAAATTATTTTTTATATTTTATATAAGGAAAATTATGAATAGGACTATGCAAGAAATTTACTCCCTCGTTCCTATATATAAGATATTTTTACTCGAATTATACAAATTAATAAAAATTGATTATTCAATTAAAAACATAATAACATTTTAATTTTATATCTAATTAGTATAAATAAAAAATAATTTTTTTAAAATAAATTAATGAAAATATTTATTTTTTTAATTTAATAAAAATATAATGATTCATTTATTAAAAAAATATAACAACAATATTTTATATTTAAAAATAAAAAATTTCTTTATATACAGCGACAGGAAAGTATTTACAAGTAAGTTTTTCATGCTTGTTCGAATTCATCTGTGAGAGTTGACCCGAATTATTGCCTCTACTGCTTATACTTCATCCTCCAACAATAAATTTCATTATTGCCTATACCCCGTCGCGATCTCTCTCTCCACGACTGTCCAAGTCGTTGTTCTCTCCTTTCCTTCATCTCAGTTCGTCCTCCACTCTGATCGATTGGTTGCTTTAAGATTTCAACAAATCTTTTCATCCAAGACTTTAAAGATCTCCACTCCAAGCCTCCAATATTGATCTTCAAACTTGGGTCTGTTGTGGCTTTTCTTCTTCTCCCTTTTCTATTCTGAAAATCGATTTTTTCTTGCAAGATTTGGGTATTGTGTTGCAAGATCTGTCAAGTATTACTTTGATTTTGCTTCTAAATAATTTTTATTGATCAGAACGTTAAATGTTATTTATCTGTTGCAAATGCTTTTCTTGTATCTCTTTATATCTCTGCATTCTCTTCATCTTTTGAATGTCGCTTACAACTAAGGTCACATTTGGCTGCCACGAGGTCCCCATCGAGTCTTGCTCCTTTTTGGCAGGCTAGTCTTACGATTCTTCGTGGAAATGGTCCCAAACTTTACCGCGGAGGCTGCCACTGTCCTTGCAGTGTTAGTGCGTGGGAAGTTGCTTGAACTCGGCATTCATATATGAAGCAGATGGAGAAGGGTTTGAAAGGATCCGATACGAGAAGGAAGAATTAGAACACAACGAAGATAAGAGCAAAGCAGAAGGATACTGAAGGACGACGGATCATCCTATGGATGAGCACTTTACGAGAGTGCGACCAAAGAACCCGTCAAGCGAAGCTCTTGAAAGATGGAGGAAGCTATGCGGCATAGTGAAGAACCCCAAACGACGCTTTCGTTTCACCGCCAATCTCGCACATAGGTCTGCCTTTGAGATCCACGCTACTGTCTTGGGTGTACTAATCCCTATTGCTCCTTCTTCCTCTTCCATAATTGAATCCTAGTTCTTTGCTTTAATTGCTTCCTTTCTTTTAATTTCCTCTCTTTCCTACTTGCCTTCATTACAAAGTCTAACATGAGGTAGTGCTTTATCTGTAAGAGACCAAAAGATTTAATTATTAGTTGAATTAATAAAATGTTGTAAAAGATTGAATTTTAATGATAGTTAGAAAAAAGAATTGATAGTAGAATTGATTTAGATAATAATAAATTCAAAAATTTTAATTATAAATTAGATATTTTAGTTTTTAATATAACTTTCGAATTGTAACTGTTGGACATAATTGTTGTTAATTCAGTCTTTCTAAATTTAATTGTGATTCTCGTCATATTTTTTTATGAATGAATAAATATGTAAATCAAACCTTACTAGAGAATAAGGTAACACACTTTTTAAAGTCATAATTTAACCAAAATGGACTTTTACCCCAAAAAAAAAATTAATAAGGACTTGGAAATTAAATTTTCCTGCATTTAAGATCAAACCAAATGTTTTTTTTTTCTTTTTTTTTTTCCTTTTTGGGGGGAGGGGGTGGGGAAACCAAACCAAACCAAACCTTAGAGACTAGAGAGTAATGAACATATCAATGAATGCATAGTTTTAAACTTAGTCAATAACAATAGGATAAAATTGTAATTATAATATTAACTTTTTGATGTGTTCATCTGGTAGGGCCCGGTATGATGTGTTCTTGAGCTTCAGAGGCGAAGACACTAGAGCGACTTTCACCTCACATCTCGACGCCGCTTTAAGGAACGCTGGGATTCTCGTTTTCAAAGATGATGCGGACCTTCCTAGAGGGAATGCAATCTCAAGTGAATTGTCACGAGGAATTGAACTTTCTACCATTTCAATCATTATCTTCTCCAAAGAATATGCTGGTTCTAGATGGTGCCTCAACGAGCTCTCACGAATCATGGAGCTTCACAGAGCACAGGGTCGAGTTGTTCTGCCTGTGTTCTATGGGGTGGATCCTTCTGAAGTTCGTAATCAAATCTCTGGTTTTGGAGAAGCGTTTCAAGATCTAATACAAAGAAGTTCACTCACGGAAGAAGAAGTGTTGAGGTGGAGAACAGCTCTCCGTGAAGCCGGGGGCATTGCAGGGCTTGTTGTGCTCAATTCCAGGTAATTTTTAAACAGTTCGTTTTTTTTTTTAATTTCTTTTCAATTTTGCTAAGTCTAAACAGACACGCACAATTGATTCTTGCTACAATTTGCACCTTTTAATCACTTTCAATTTTATATATGAGAAGTTTTTGAAGTAATATCTAACAAATAACAACAATTCGTTATCAGAGAATAAGTCTTATATTGATGCATCTAATCAATGTGCTGGAGCGGAGTTCTGAAAAGCAGCTGAAAATGTTGTAGTCAAAGCATGAGTGTGTTATTAGCTGGCCAAAGATTTGTTTACTTTTTTTTTCTTGGCTGACATAGCGATTTCACAAGCACAAATGATGTTCTGTTTCTGTCTTAAAATATTGCTTTGAATTTGGTCAAATTGACATATCTGTTATTCTTATTATGCTGTGAATTATTCAAATTATGATAGTTTTATAGCCACTGCAATTCTGGCTTTTTTTTTTTTTGGGGTTTAAAAGTTGCACCTTGGAGGAAGGACTGATATTTAAGGAACGATTTCATTAAGGTATTGCGAATGCTATCATCTCTAACATGTTTTTAACACTTGAAAAATCACTCCCTTCCGTTTGCTCCCTATAAAATTTAGAGAGCATGTGGTAGTTGGTACATGGAAAAGTTATTTGGAAAATGGGGAAAATTGAGGAAGTTTTTTTATTATATTTGTTAGATGGCAAGGTGACTTTGTTGGAAATAAAGTTTTCCATGTTTATGGTAGAGTTTTCCCTTCCCCTTTTCCATTTTGTATCATACGAGCCTTTTGCCTCAATTTCATCCTTTAAGGAATCCAATTTTATACCGAATGAAACCTTTGTCAATTGTTGGTGAACTCAGATTCCTTGCAGTGACAAGAGGGAAACTGAGGAATTATAGAGATGTGGGGCTCATATTTAAGTGTGTTCATTGTCTCTCTTTCTCTATTCTCATTTTCCCCACCAGTGATTTGTCAGGATCCTCTCACATTGTTGACTTGTGTAAAATGAAAATTTTCCACTAGTAATGGTTGTTGCTGATAAGAGGAAATTGCTGCATACTGTTGCTTTGAGTTCTTTTTTGGGGCCCACTTTCCCTTGAGTTCAATTGTTTGTTTAAATGTTTCATGAGTCATTTCTTCTCATTCACCTCAAAGCTGTCTATGTTTTATATGATGAACTTTCATTTGATATATTTTCCTTTCAGCTCACTACTTAAAGTTTCATATTGACATTTCTAGTTTTGACGGTACTGCAGTGTCAGTTTCCAATATGGTTGTTTCCATTGTAGTTTGTTCATCATGTCTGCTCTAATTCTGATGCATGTTGCTTTAAGCAGCGTTACTTTTATTTCTACTTGTGCTTATATTATTGGTGCTCATTTTCTGTTATATTTGTCTATAATGTAGGAATGAAAGTGAAGATATCAAGAATATCGTTGAGCATGTCAATAAAATATTGGACAAGAAAGACTTGTTTATTGCTGACCATCCTGTTGGAGTGGATTCTCGTCTACAGGATTTGATTAAAGCATCAGAAAGCCATTCATCAAATGATGTTCTCTTGCTAGGGATATGGGGAATGGGCGGTATAGGTAAAACAACAATTGCCAAATCCATTTATAATGAAATTGGTCGAACATTTGAGAGTAGAAGTTTTCTTTCAAATATTAGGGAAGTTTGGGAGAGAGATAATGGTCCAATTAACTTACAGCAGCAACTTCTTTTAGAAATTTGTAAAACAACAAAGATGGAAATATTTAGCATTGATTTTGGAAAAGTCAAATTGAAGGAAAGTCTTTGCCATAAGAGAGCACTTGTTGTGCTTGATGATGTGAATAAGGATGAGCAACTGAATGCTTTATTTGGAAGTCGTGAATGGTTTGCTCCAGGAAGTAGAGTAATTGTCACAACTAGAGATAAGCATTTGCTCAATGTTCTTAAAGTGAACCATGTATATGAAATGGAAAAGATGGACCTGAGTGAATCTATTGAGCTTTTCAGTTGGCATGCTTTTAAGCAACCAAGTCCTAGAAAGGGATTCATTGAACTTTCTAGAAATGTAGTTGCTTATTCTGGAGGACTGCCACTAGCTCTTCAAATCCTTGGTTCCTATTTATGTGATAGGGAAGTGAGAGAGTGGAAGAGTGTACTAGAGAAACTAAAAAAAATCCCCAATGATGAGATACAAAAGAAGCTAAAAATAAGTTTTGATGGGTTAAGTGATGACACGGTGAAAGAAATCTTCCTTGATGTATCTTGCTTCTTTATTGGAATGGATAGGAGTGATGTCACAAAGATATTGGACAGTAGCAGACTATTTCCAGACATTGGAATAAGTGTCCTTGTGGAGCGGAGCCTTGTAACTATTGATGAGAAGAACAAGCTTGGCATGCATGATTTGCTGCGAGATATGGGGAGAGAAATAATCCGAGAACGATCACCTAAAGAGCTTGGAAAGCGTAGTAGGTTATGGTCTCATGAAGATGTGCTTGATGTATTATCAAAACAAACTGTAAGAACTTCCCTGTCCTATATTTATTATTCTGCTTGTGACATAGGTTTGCATTTTGCCTTTCAGTGGACAAATAACAGATTTACTAACTTTTTATTTTTATATTGTATTTATTCACAGGGTACAGAATTTGTTGAGGGGCTAGCTTTGAATCTGTCGCAAACCAATAAAGATTATTTTTCTACCAAAGCATTTAAGAAGATGAAGACACTCAGATTGCTCTGCCTTGGTAATGTGGAGCTTGATGGAGACTACAAATACATTAGTAGAGATCTCAGATGGCTTTGTTGGTATGGGTTTCCTTTGAGAAACATCCCTGCCAACTTATATCAGAAAAATTTAGTTGCAATTGAGTTAAAATATAGTAGCCTCAAACAAGTTTGGAGGGAACCCCAGGTATGTATACTTTGTTGGAATTAGGAATAAAGTTTAATAATCAGAGTTAAAAGGCATTTTTACTCCTTAACTATTCATTTAGGAATCTCTATTATTCTAAACTTACATATGGTGAAATTTGCACTTCAACATTTGAAAATGGTGCGCTTGGCATCTTTCTGTTAAAAAAGTTAATTTTGACTCTTAGTTGACTGAAAAATTACAAAAAAAAAAAAGATATTTAAAACATTACAGAAAAGGACCCATAAAATTGTAAGTAAACACTCTATAAGAAAATTAATATCGATTGAGTCCTTAAATTAATGGTTGGTCAAAATTGTATTCTAGACTTTTACATGGGTGAGAAATGACATCTGTATCATGTTATTTAGATGTAATTTAGAAGACTTAATTGTTATTAATTTTCTTATCAAATACATAATTGTAATTTTATGGGTCATTTTCTGTAATTCTTAAGTCAGCTAATGGTTACAGTTGACTTTTTTAATCACAGGGTGCTCAATGAATTTTTTTCAAATGTTGAAAGGAAAATTGCACTACATGAAAATTTAGTATACCAAGTGCTTCTAAGTGAATAGTTGAGGGGCCAAAATGTACTTTAATCCTAATAATTATTAGATTTTGTTTTACTACATAACTTCTAGATAGATCTTCCTTTCAGATATTTCTAATAACAGCTTCTGAATGAATCTTCCTTCATCACTACTCTTGAACATAGCTTCTGAATTTTCTTTAATTTATGTTCTTTTATATTCCTCACCTGCATGCTTTCTACAAAACTATACTATAAACCCATAAACTAAGCCACTTGATGTTGTACTTATCATCTTTTCTGATTGGTTTATTCTTTCAGTTAATGTACAAATCTACTATTGAGCCTTTTTCAAAGGTGCAATTGGTATGCTAAAGTTTTTTGAGGTGCAATGTTGCCCTTGACATTTTTTAAAGTGGTACAATGTGGCCTGAGTTGACAGAAGCAAAACGTTGACCATTAGTTGAATTCTTTATGCTTATGTGGCATTCCTATAAAACATCCACATCACTCTCTATCATTTGAAAACAATATGTAGACACGTGATTTTGAAGAAGTCTAGGGATCTCAAAAGTCTGGGGGTTTTGAAGAAGCATGAAGATGCCTGATTACAAGCAGAATATTGATAGATCTGTGAATGCAAGTAATACTTAAATTTTAGTTGAATTGATGGAAAAATTTTATTCCCATATGTGATAGTGAGATGAAGCTTGATTGCATTTGCCTGATTTATGAAATCTTTGGGGTGTTTGTAAAATTATTTGCTTGATTTCAATATTGTCACTAGCAATGGATTTAGAATTCATAAGTGTTAGAGGGGTAGAGTGCTTGGTGGGGAAAGAAAGGTCAAAACATTTTTTCAGAAGAAAAAAAAAGGTGAGTTGGATGCCACATGAGCATGTCATGTCACATGATAAGTCAACTACGGTCAACATTTGGTTTTTGTTAACGTAGTGCGACATTGCACCGCTTTAAAAAAACGTCAGGGGCAATATTGCACCATAAAATACTTCAAGATGCCAATTGCACCTTCGAGAAAACTTCGAGGGCAGATTTCCACATTAACCTTTATTCTTTAATAAGACGTTAAACGGTATATTTATGAGACTTGCCAAACATTAAAGTGGTTTTCAAGCTTTTAAATGCCTTAATGCTACTTTTACTCTAAAGCAAGGCTTGAGAATTAGCCTTTAATAGTAATACCAAAACTCATGAGTGACACTTTCCAACATTCATGATTTTTGACACGTTAATTTGTTCCATCTTCTTCATTTTATGAGTTTCTTCACTAAGTTTCCCTTGATTGTTCTTTTCTTGCAGTTATTGGAGAGGCTGAAAATCCTGAATTTTAGTCACTCCCCTTTCTTGATGCAAACTCCTGACTTCTCAAAACTACCAAATCTTGAAAAGTTGATTCTTAAAAATTGTCCAGATTTGTCCATTGTTCATCCTACCATTGGACATGCCAATAAACTGCTTCTAATAAACTTGAAGGATTGTACTAACCTCCGCACTCTCCCGAGAAGTATCTATAATTTAAAATCCCTAAAAACTCTCATTCTGTCTGGTTGTGCAAGGATTGAAAAGTTAGAAGAAGACATAGAGCAAATGGATTCCTTGACAACTCTGATTGCTGATGACACTGCAATAACACAAGTGCCTCTTTCTTTGACTAGGTTAAAAAGCATTGGCTATATATCTCTTTGTGGCTATAGGGGATTGTCACGTGATGTGCTTCCTACTCTCATTTGGTCAAGGATGTCCCCAACAAATAATCCTTTATCTCTAATTCCAACACATGTGGGCATGCCAATTTCCTCGGATATGTTGAATAGCAATATGGGTGGTCTTTCATTTATTTCTACTAACTTGGCAAAACTACAAAGCCTTTTGTTGGAAATCATATCACAGAATGACCCTGAAATGATTCGAGGTGCTGCCAAAATTTTGGGGTCCTTTTATGCCAGAATTTGCATGGACATGGCAACAATATCAAATACTTCAAAAATCTTAGAGACTGAATCTTCTGTGTTATCTAGTCGTGATAGTGAGGTTCACATCTCAAGATCAGAAAATTGTTTGAGACATCTTCTAATTCAAATAGCAAAGAATGACCAAGTCACTGCTACTCTTCTAGAGAATATTTCACAGGTACACTTTTTAATTCGTTTTTTAAAAAAAAAAAATTTGAAAAGAAGAGGTAGTCCTTGCTAATATATGCAATTTTTTAATAAAATTTGAAATGACCTTTCTGCTTGCCCAACTATATAGTTGAATCACGCTGCTGCTTGTGTTATTAAGCAGGGATTGACTCCTAGTAGGTATGGTGATGTTTGTGTCCTCCCTGGTGACATATATCCCTATTGGCAAAGTTTCAAGGGTGAAAGAGCTTCTGTGAAATTTAAAGTGCCTCGAGTTAGTGGTCGTGATTTAAAAGGGATGATCATTTGTTGTGTATATTTCCCTTCAGGTGATCTGGAAAAGATGGCTTTTGAATCTTTTATTAGCATGATGATCATAAATTATACAAAGACAACCACTCTGCACTACAGGCAAGATTCACTGACTTCATTTGAAGAAGCAGAGTGGAAGGAAATAATATCAAATCTAAACCCAGATGACCAAGTGGAGGTGATTGTAGTTTTTGGTAAAGGACTCACTGTAAAATGGACAGCAATCTACTTGAAATATTACGAGTCATTTGATGAACAGATGGAACATCCACCATCACCAAGTATAGTTAGCTCCCTAAATCTATGTTATTTTGCACCAGTTTTAAGAGTTAATTTTGATTAGAGTTTTACTTTTAGGCCTAAAAGAAAAGATAGTACATTATTGTTACAATTTAACTACTCTTTTTCTGCAGGCAGAGAAATGTGTAGAGAAGACAAAGGCCATGATTTTGAGCTCTCGGGTTGTCCCAAAAACAAAAACAAGGAAAAGAAAAAGAAAAAGAAAAGAGCTCTCGGAGAAGAGAAAGTGGTGGATTTCCACGATCCAGTGAAGGGGTCCAGGAGGATAGGACTTGCACTGATTAAACATTTGTTCCTTATTTTTGTATTAGTATTTTTGTCTTTTTTGTTTTATATGATTTCTTAAATTATCTGGGGTTCTAGAAAAACTCCATACATAATTTGTTTCTTATCTTGATAAATTACGTTTAATATTTTTTATCAGTAATGAGCATACTTTAGTTGGTGTATAACTTGTATGATAATAGAACTGTTAATTTCACAGAAGAAGTGTTTTTACAAGTTGCAGCTAAATCTTAGCACCAAGTATGGAAAACTACATGAGATCGTGGCTGAGGATAAGAGAATTCTTGAACCTGAAGTGGGCCTTCTGCCCCCTGACTGGCTCACCAGTGAACATTGGCTGAGGTATGTGAACTGACCTTATCTATCTCAGCTGGAGTGATTGGATCTCTATCAGATACTTTTTCTTTCTATTAGGCTAATGCTTTTTTTCCCCCTTCCATGCGAGATGGTGAGAGTATGTGTTGCTTGGAAATGTGTCCAATTATCTAAATAAGTAAACAGAATGTTATTTCATGTAGCCTTAATTATTGCACTTATTTCAAACTACATAAACCCAGTATTACAAGGCATATGGGACAATTGCAAGGTGTTTATCCCCCCCCCCTCCTTGGGTTGAGATACTTGAAACTCAACAAAAGGGATTGTTGCGCTTTCTGTGATTATACTTGGAGTTTTTTCACGTACAAATTTGCTTGCTACATAAATATATATAGATATATATATGGTGGTGTTTGAAGAAGTCACAGATATGGCGATCCCTAAGTAAAATATTAGTGGCTATTTGTTAAATATCAAAACAGTAGGCAAAAACAGTGAAGGAAATAAATCTATTTACTAGAGCAAGGATCTGACTCTAATAAAGCTTAACAGCCAAGGTAGGAGAATCTCCAATGAATGAAAGAATTCCTTATTTCTCGATATGACTAGTCTTAATTATTGCTAGGTTATTTATAATATTGAAACTATATCAGAATAATAAATAAATAAATAACAGGAAAATATCCAATATATAGGCAGACTCAAAAACAAACTTGAACAGTGGCAAACCCTGAACATGCCAAGAGTTTTCGCTATAAGCATACCTGGTTCTGAAATGCTGAAGCTTGAAAACAACCACTCACCAGAATAACAAAGATAATCATTAAGGACTAGAGTACTGATGATGTAATGATTGGCCTTTGTTACAATTTAGCTATGAAATTTGGTAATATGTAATTTTTTTCGTCTCAAGTAACTCGTGTTATCGTCATGTACTCTATCATTCCTAAAACTTGTTCAGCACTGATATAATCATCGTTCTATAATTCGGAAATTCAAATACATAACTAATACACGCACGCACGCACACACACACACGCACACGCACACACATTTTCTACCCCTAAGTATCTCCCACGCTGACCAGCCTATGATTGTAATTGATCAGCATAACATAAACTCAAGAATAACTTGGTGCAATCAGATATAGCAAGTAAATATTATTTATAGCATCAACTCTTGGAAAGTAATCACTACCAAATTAAAGTTAATAGTAATAAATATACCTTGAAGCCCTTGGGATTTGCTTTTGGTAAAAATTAGAATGTTCAACTGGGAGGCACTTGGTTTGAACCACTTTACTCTGAGTTTTGGGTTCGAGTCCTGAAATATACAAGCGCATTGAATAAAAATGTCAGGGATATTCTGAAGGCCCTTGTGACGCTGCCACTGATGAGTAGTCCCATAGAGTACGATCCGAATTAGTTTGGGTGGGTGATGACAATGCTCTTAGATTTTTCAAGATACTGGGCAATGAAATTAAAAAAAAAAAACACAAAGGAATTAGAATGTTCAGCTCAAATTCTGGAAATTACTAACTACCATGGTGATTTGCAAAATGTCTTCTTCTTCGGGCAGTTCTCTCTTGCTTTCCCAATAGCATTCTTGCCCAAGCATCAAGTTATCTTCTCTGCTTCTGTTGGAAATTCTCCTATTTTATTACATTTACACAAAACACACGTTACAACAATTTCACAATTAATTCCTAACATTTTCAAGTTTACTATGGCTTAGCTTAACTTGCGCTTCTACTACAATGGTCTTCTGCTGATATAGTGCTACAGCTATGCAATCATTCAAATTTCAACCTCAAATTTTCCACCAAGAAGAGTAAGAAATGCACATGCTGAGAGCTGTCCTAACTGCAAAACCTATCATTATCCAAAAACTACAAAATCACTTACACTTATAATAATAATTTATGGCCATCACAAATAGAAGGAATTGGATATCATTTACATATACTAATCTTGAATCTTGATTCTATTTAACAATTATGATATAGACACCCACTTGAAACCAGTGTGGTATTTGGTTCTACCAGATTGAAGGCTCAACAAAAGGGGTCTGATTCCATCTGCAAAATATGAATTTCAAAGTTGTTTCCTTTCATGATTCAAGGGAGTTGTGCACGTGAGAAGTTCATTCACATCTGAATAGAGCACAGCAAGTGCCTCCTCAGCAACATAAAGAAGTCAAAAGCCCAATAACCCAACATTGGCATTCCAATCCTTCTTCAGTGGAACATGAAACAAATAATAGTAAGAGAAAATTAATTCCTCAAAGGCCCTTGAGGTTTCTTTCAATTCAGAATTAAATTTCTATAATTTATTTTATTTTTTGTCGAGTCCTTATAATTTGGTTCATTATATTTATTAATCCCTATGAGGGTTGAAATTATTAATGAATGGTAAACTTTCATAAAACAAAAATACTTTTATGTTATGTTTGGATGTATATGAATTCAGATCTAGATTTAAATGTGGGCCAAATCCCTTGATTGGGCACATAAAAATTTATGGATTTAGATTTAGCTAAATGTATATGAATTTAATTTGAAATGTGAAATTTTAAACCTAAAATTCAAATTCAAATTCACTAATCCAAAGACTACATTGAAGTTCATAGAAAATTCAAGGATTTTAACATTCAAGAATTAATAAATCTAATGGATCAAACTATAAGAGCTCGATTAAAATCAAATAAACTATAGGAACTTAATTCAAAATTTAAGTCTTCTGAGATTAACTTTCCCTAACAGTAATCTATATTGTGGCTAGACTGATGATCACACATAAAATTATCTTAATTATCTTACATAGAGAAGCACGCTCCCCAACCCTAAAACTAAATTAGCCTTGTGAGACAAGCAACAAGCTATAGAATTGACGTGCTTAAGCTTCAATTGAAGTGCTTCACCAGAGGAACAAATCACTAAGGACCTGAGCACTGATGATGGGTTGAATTCCTCTGTTCGGATTAGGAAGGAATGTGTCACTGGCACAGCAATTCACAACTAATTCCTAATACTTTAAAATTCATTATGGCTTACCTCTTCTTGCGCTTCTACTACAAAAGTCTTCAATTAATAATGTGCTACACAATCATCAAATTCTCGACCAAGAAGAGTAATAACTACAGATCCCAAAAGCTGTCCAAAATGCAACACATATCATCCAAGAGCTGCAAAATCACCTATCACCTAATGGGCATATTTCTAGAGGCTAGACAATTTAGCAATAATTTACCCAAACAAAACTACTATATGTTTTTTATTTTAGCATGTTCTCCTCACCTCGAGGAAAAAAATTGAATTCTGCATATACAAAGGGTATGAAAATAAAGTTTCCACTCATTTTTGTCCTCTAACAGTACGAGAAAGGATAAAAAAATTTAGAGCAAAGAGTCAGGTTTTATCTACTCTCTCACATAATCTATGGCCATCACAGATGGAAGGAATTGGAAATCATTTACATACACGTAATCTTGATCCTATTTAACAAATATGATATGAATTATATAAAATTGGTTACATGACTTGTATAGACTAATTCTCCCCTAACCAAACACCCATTCTTAAAAATATCAATTTCTATATATGATATTAAGAAGGGTAATTATCCGAATGCTACATTCTCCAAGCAGCCCTGCTAGCAATTGCAAATTGGGAACCCTTCCCTTGCTTTGTTGTGAGAGTCTGACAAGAAGTGAAGATGTTTCTCTCTTTCCCCAGCAAATTACAAAAAGCTTGAAAGGAATCCCAAAGCATTTGTCATTTGCATGACCCTCCACTTTTTCTGTTCGAGTGATGTGAGATTAATCCTACATGAAAACAAACATCATATTCAGAACAAGTGGGGGGAGGGGCATCATATGCCATGACAACCTTAATTAACAAACAATACAAACCTCCCATGTATGTGGTCAGAGATTCAGCGCTATTTGATAATTCTTTCATTGATGCTCAAACCATTTTTTGTCAATTTCATCTTCATATACCAGATAAACCGCAGTCTTCCTCACAATACATTTATGTGCAAAATTAACTTCCATTGTCAGGTTCAAAACTGGATATAATGTTTTCCCATTCCTCATCACCAGTAGTTGCAGCATCTCTCTGGTAAACCTCGATGGTTGCTTTTGTGAAATTCTTTTTCGTGACACTAATAGGATATAAAGATGTCATGCTACCTTGGGACGAATAGATAATGCAGATGATCATCCTTTTTAAACAACGACCAACAACTTGAGACACTATAAATGATGTTGAGGAACCTTCATTTTCAAAAGCTAGCCAATAATTGTCTCCAGGAAGAGAAAAGCCAAGTCCTTTGTCACTCCATCCCTATTCCATGAACATAAGAAAAGAGGCACTCTATTTAATTGAGAAAAAAGGCCACACAATAGTCACCTGTTGCAATAGTTGCAAAGGCTTTATATAATGATCACAATAATGAAAAACGCCTAATGTTCATACTTTCCAATCACTTATGTTTTAGCTTTTAGAGGTATATTGATTAAGAAAAAAAAAAAAACACACACACACACACACACAGTGATATAGAGAGTAATTAAAAAAATCTTCAAAATTTTTATAAAAAATTTACAATTACTCAACAATATACACATGCACGCAGACACAATATGAGAAGAAAACGTCAATATTGTATTGAAACATTGCCGATTTCCAGTATAGGTTAAGGAATTAAGTATGTTTGTGCAATGTGATAAATTCTTCAAGTGTCACCAACAGCTATTGTTAACCATCCATTAATAGAAAGAGTGTAGTCTAGCACCCTGAACAAGCATTTCCAACATCTTGAGCAATTGTAGTCTAGCACCCTTTGACAGTGTACAGTTAACACAACCTTGGGTATGGATACCAATATAGTTCATGATAAAAAATGATTATTTAAATATTGATTATGCAATGTTAAAAGCAATATTTATAATGTTTAAGAGATAAATACAAAACCTGCGGGATACTCTTCAATAACGCATCAACAATTCTATTGAATCCTCCCACTTGAATAGTAAGGGAACTCGAGAAATTTTCAGCCTCTGCATTGTCAGCTTGGTCATGAGAGCTATTTAATGCTAGAGCTTTTGCACTTGACACTAGGGACGTGCGTGGGCTTGCTTCCAAATTTTGACTACTTTGGTTAGATAGATTATGAAATAGATTTTTTAATAAAAATGGCACGCTAGAAAGTTTGAATGAGGGATCTTGAATCATCTGTTGGGGGCATCCAAGACCAAATGAGAGGTGGAAATACATCATGTGATGATCCTTCGTAACCATATAATGACACATTTGATGCTTTTTAATCTCACCAGTGAAGAGAGAACTTGTGTTATAGCAGTTTCTTTTGCAAGAAGCATTGTCAAGGATAAAAATTAAACTTGAATGACTAAATCAATAATTGAGGCAAATTTAAAGGATTAAAAATTTCTCACGTAGGGTCTCACATACCAGATTTATTGTGTCAATTAATGATGATTTCATGAGAAAACATTTGAAACACTCACCATCTATGCACTGATGCAACCATGTCACAATGATATGGCTAGAGAAAACTTTTTATCCTCACAATGCATAATCAAATACTCTCTTCAATTCGAAATGTAAAAGTTAGTTGAAAATTTTGTTTTGATCATACTTGTAAAATATCAACCTCTTTTGTCTCCCTCATTAATTTATTTCGCTCTCAAACTACCCTTATTTATTGCACAATTTTTTCATTGCAAAGAAAATACCCTACATTGAATGGGAGGGGTGTTTTAGTAAAACTATGACAAAATGTTGACACATTAACAACTAACCAACTTAACTAAATTTCTCAGTTTATGTGAATTAGTTAACTAGTTTCCGGATTTAGAATCAGAGAGAATATATCTTATTGACATGATTGTCACAATAAAGCAACAAACAGCTTCCAAAGTGGCTAAAACTTGTCTCAATTTTAATTTATGTATAGTAGTGATAAGAAATATGGAAAACGCTACTTTAGATGAAGATGATTATAGCTGTGTTACTTTTCAATTACTTTTGTTTGTCAGTTTCCTTTTCAACAATTGGGAATATTTTACAATTTTGCTTTTAGCATGTGGGTAGAGGTTTCCTCATTGAGAAGGAAACCTCATGCCCATAAAAAGGATGCTGAAATGTATTTGAGAGGAGAATTGATGAATGAATATATGAAACATTATGAATTTCTGAAAGCTCCATCTCTCCCTTCACTTCTGCATCCCTCTTCCCTTCCCTCTCTTTCTCTGTTTTCTGTCACATCTCTCTCTTTTCTCCTTCTCTGTTCTCGCTCCCCTTTCACCTCCTACTCTCTGTTTCTGTCTCTATTCCCATTTCCCTTTTGTTTTGAGCAAGTGTGTGTGTGTGTGTGTGTGTGTGTGTTACATCAACTTGGTATCAAAGCTCGGCTCTAAATGCTCTTAGATTGTTCCTACTGCCGGAGATCAGAGAAAACTCACCAGAAAGCCCTGCATACTTTGTTTTCACACTGCTAGAGCCAGAAACCACATTTCCCAACATCATTTCACAAAACGAACACCACTATCGTGCTCAAGAAGGGAAATTTGGTCAGCACCAGAAAACTCACCTCTGTCCACCGCCGCACGCACCGTCCATACAATATCACCAGAACCTAACCTTCAGCATTTTTCTTGTGTTTTTGCGGAATTTCTTCAATTCTGGAGAAGCTGAGAGGCACAAGTCATCATCTAAAGCTTTGTTAGGGGTAAAATTTCATGTTTTAGGCTCCTAAAGCTATGTTGGTAAGGCCGACGACCCTCTCGTTTAACTGACTTATTTGGTTCTTAAAGGGAAGTATTCTATTCATAGCTAGGTCTGTAATTTTTATTGTTTAGTACTTATGTTTCTTAGAGCATTGCAATTCTAATTTTAAACTGTGTTTAGTCTAATATTTAGATCTAAAAAAAAATAGTGTACATTGATCATTATCTTGTTGATTTGTGGCTTTTCATAGCAGTATTCATATAACCTAGGACACCTACTTCACACACAATTCGGCCCTATACTCGGGTCAAAGAAATTACCTAAGAAGCACCGATACGAGTACAAGTGTCGGGTACGATACGATACGTGGACACGGCTATTTTTTAAAATTTTAGGGTACGAGTATGACTATATAAATAATTAAATATTAAATATTTGGATGTCTAAAAATACAATTGCAAGATGTCTAATGCCATCACAAAATATAATACAATAAGTAGTTAAGCACTTAAACACCATCAAGTGGCAAAAGATAATTATCAACTTAAAGTAATTCTAATCTTTCCCATCTTCATTGACATCACCACTTTCTCCTATAAGTTTTCTTTCTAAAATTGACTCATCTAGAGATAAACTTGCAACTTCAAGATTTTCAGCATCATCTATTTCCCAACAATCTCCACTAATATCCCACAATCTACTTTCTCCAGTGGAATACTTCTCACTCTTTCTTGAAAAAAGATGAAAATTTGAATGAACAAAAACTAAGTTTTTCGCTTTTTTTGGAAGCATCTTGTTTCTCTTTAGTGAATGAACGAAAGAGTAAGTGCTCTAATTTCTTTCACAACAAGATAATGAGCATGGTTGACTAAGAAGTTTCAATGCAGTCCTTGAAGTTTAGGAGCATCAACACTATGATTGCTCCACCAAACCTTCGGCTCTAATATCCATCTAACTTGTATGGAATCAATAAAAGAGAACTCATCTGAACATCCAAAAAACTTTGAAAACTTATTCATAACCAATTTTCTCTCTTCTTCATGTGGAAACATCCTTTTAAAGCACTTTTTCCTCTCAATTGATATTTCAGCATCTCTATGTGAAGAGACTCTATTTGGTCCACCTTCAAGCCATTGTGTTATATAATACCTACAATAATATAATAACATCAATTGGAGTCGTTATGTAAGAATGATAAAGAAAAGAATTTCATGATAAAAAATAAGAATAACACACTTAGGATTCAGTGAGTGGGCAAAACAATGTAGTGAAGTGGCACTCTTTATCCATCAATCAATGATGATGTTATAAACAACTTCATAAAATGAAGAGTACTCAGAAAGTGATTTTCTCTCATGCTTATAAATTGATTCCTTGATTTGCTCTACCATTGAATCCCACATCTCATAAATCAAATGAAGTGTGGGTCTATCTGTGTCAGCAAATCTCAACATATCATAAATTGGTTTAGTGGAAGAGAGAATATAATCAACCTTCTCCCACCAAAGATCATTAAGAATTATGTCCTTCACAATAGGAGCCTTTCCAACATCATCATCTCTATAAACATTCCATTCTTCACCAATAACCAGTGTACGAAGAGAAGTTTTGATAAGTTTGAATCTCTTCAACATCACAATTGTTGATGCAAATTTTGTTTCGGCTATTGCAAGCAACTTTAACGACACAAATTCATCAAACATGGCCAATCTCATAGAATGATTCATGATAAATGTTCAGATGAAGATTGCATCATCCTTTACCTCAATGATCCAACGGCATTCTCCATAAACAATTTCATTTGCCTCTGCATTTTTTGCTGCACATATATTCTTCAAGGCAAGATTAAGTGTATGCACCACACATGGTGTCCAAAAGATGTGAGGATATTCATCTTCCACCATCTTACCAGCAGATTTACAAACAGATGCATTATTAGTGATTACTTGAACAACTTTATGAGGCTCACCCCACTTCTTCAACCACTTTCTTTATCAAGTCAGCCATGTAAAATCTGCCTTTATACTCACTAGCTGCATCAATTGCCTTCAAAAACATGGGGCTTCCATCACTTACAGCCATAAAATTAATTAATGGCCTTCTTTGTACATCTGTCCAACCATCCGTAATTATACTTACCCTTTTATGATTCCAAGTCCCTTTGATTGATTCAAGTTGCCTTTCAACATTGGCCCTTTCTTTTTGCAACAAAGTGAATCTTAGTGTATTATAACCAACAGGTTTAAAACCAGGAATTACTTTGTTGGCAGCATGTTGAAATGCACTAATAAAATATGGGTTACATGCCAAATTGAAAGACAAGCCAACCGAATAGAACATTCTAGCAATTTCAGTAGTTAAATTATCTCTAATTCCTTGTTGGAAAGCTCTTTCTATTGTATTTGTTGCCCTCCTTTTTCCCTGATTGTGTTCACTTTGAATAGGGATAGAACTCCTTTGACATAGAGGAGACAAACGCTCAGTTGGAGTTGGCAATGGCACATGTCTTGGTTTTGTCCTATTCTCAGCCTCCTCTTGAGCTATTCGCATTTTACCTAAACAACTACCATCAACTTTCAAGCATATAGCAATACCCTTTCTATCCTCAACAAATGAAATTTAACTCTAGAATAAGAGCCATTATATTGGTTATTACAATTGTTACACTTTCAACTTCTATTCCCACCTTCCCTTTCATTTTCTTGAGGAACCGAAGTTACAAAAGCCCATAAAGAAGTACTCTCTGTCTGTCTTTCATTACTAGATTGAAATTGAGAATTCACACTTCCTGAACTACTACTAGGTCTAGAATTAGAAGCCATTGCAGGTTTATTTTTAAACAATATCCTGAAATTTTAACATGAAGAGAGCTAATAAAAATTTAAAATAAATCAATGTTTAACTCGGCAAAATAATCCATCTAAATAAAAAAAATTAAATCAGTAATTCAGTATTAAATTGGGAAAACTGATCAGGTTGCTCTGCCTCTCTTGATTCAGCAGTGAAGCATTGAGCAATAAATATCCATTATCCAACAATGCAGTAATACCAATAAATATCCAGCAGCATTGAACAATAAAAGAAGTGAAGAGCAGAAGAGATAGAGACACCCAGCACACCGATACATGAAGAACTAAAGATAAATTACCAAGATTGAAGGCTGAAGACTAAAGAACGACGATGGTCAAAGACGCTGAGGCAGAGCTCAGACGGTGAGGCAGCATGTGAAGTGAGAAGTGAAAACGCGAGAGTTGAAGAACGACAACGATCGATGAGGCAGCGAGCGACAAAGCGACAAACGTGAGAAAGGGCCCGACTAGAGCTGAAAATCTTAGGACATCGGGTTTCTTGAGTTAGGACTGAGTAAAAAGAAGTGAAAAAAGCAGAGTTTCGCGTCCGCCCATGTCTGACCCGCGTCCGCCGGAAACTAGGAAAAGCATGTCCGTGTCGGATGCGCATCCGACGACACGGACACACCGACCATTTTCACGTATCAGTGCTTTTGAGGAAATTACCTTAGGTTAGCCAAAGTTTCTAACAATTTTTCTGTGAGGTTTTTGAACCTTTAGAGATTACTGTGAAAACTTCACTCAAGTTGCTACCTATTTAGCAAACAATCCCTGTGGAATTTTTAAATTCTCAAAGGATTAGTATTGTTAAAAAGGGACTTCACCTTCCGAGGTGAAGGCAACTTGTGGGCCTTTCTTCCTTCGGATACTAGTACCATCCCAAACCCTGAACTTTATTATACCACCTGTGTCATTGTATGACCATTTGTGATTTATATAATAAACAAGCTTTATTAGACCAAGAAATTACTACCCTAAAATCTGCCATGGCCAAAAACTCCCAAATTATCCAAAATCATCTTGAAGAATATGAAAGAGCTCAAAAGGCATATGTGGACCAATGACTTGATGAAATCAAGGAATTCATAAACAATAGATTCGAGGAGATAATGAATACAATTCAAATAACATACAAACAAGATACAAGGAAAAGGACTGAAGGGCTGCTCGAAAGACCTATCATATTAGGAGTCAAGTCTTAGAAATGAGCAATTCCCAGTCCGCAATCAACTTAGAGGTAATTACCTTAGAATTGGGTCATTCCTCCAAAGCGATGGATGAAAGACATCGTAGACCATCTCCTTGAGTTTACCAATCATCAGTCTAATGACATAGGCAATACTTTGGACGAGAAAGGGCCAGAAGAACAACATTATAGACCACATCATCCAGTCCATAGGAATGGTAGAGAAAGCTTTAAAAGAACACATATCGATGACATCATCAAGAGGGTTAAAGTTAAGGCCCCTAAATTTGATGGACAATTGAATCCTATTACGTTCTTAGATTGGTTAGCCAGCATGGAAGATTATTTTGAATAGTATGACATGAGTGATACTCAGAGTTCTATTTACGAAGATGAAACCCATGAGATCTGCTAGAAAGTACTGGCAAAATGTCCAAAGGACCATTGAGCGACAAGGTTATCCACCAATTGAGATGTGGGACGAGGAATGAAGGCCAAGCTGAAAGAAAAATACATGTCGACTCATTATAAGAGTCAACTGTATGACAAATACCTCAATCTAAAGCAAGTCTCCATAGCTTCTGAATATATATCTCGATTTGATGACCTTATGATTAGGTGTGAGGTGGATGAAGAATGGCGCACCATTACCAAGTTTGTTAATGGACTCAAGCCATATATATAGAAGGAGCTCAAGTTAAACTTTCCAGAGTCTCTTGAAGAAGCTTATCATAAGACTTTGGAAGTAGAGTCTCTGTTATAATACTTGTCTGTAAAGCGTACCGACATGCAAAGCAATCAGTTTAGATAGGCATGAACTACCAGTTTGTCTGAGCGACCTACAGGAGCACTTACATCTAGGCCCAGCCTGTCTTTTACACCTACTCAAGCAACTGGGTTCAAGGGTAATACCTCTAAGCCTAGTGAGGCTATAGTTCCTGTTTCCTACCCTCGCAATTCTTTTGTCAAGTGTTCTTGTTGTCACTCAAAGGGTCACATTACGTCGAAATGCCCACAGAGTACTCTAGTTATTGACTAACAATGTGAGGATGAGGAGGACAATGCAAATGCTGACGTAGTCTTAGATCCAGTTGAGTGTCCTTCAGATGTCAATGAAGATATCATCATTGATGAACATGGATATGAGACACGTCGAGTTGGAGTTATGAGATGCATTCTATCTATCCCTCTACCTAGTGATTCATGGAAGCGAACAAGTATTTTCTAATCTTTTGTGAAGTATGGAGACAAAGCTTGCAAGTTAGTGATTGATGGAAGAAGTTCTAGAAATGTCATTTCTAGTCAAGGAGTAGCCTGACTCGGCCTCAAGACAGAACCTCGCTCGAAACCTTCTTATGTCGCATGAGTCAACAAAACTTCTTTACGAGTCACCCAACAGTATCGTGTTCCTCTTCAATTAAGTGACTATAAAGAAGAAATTATTTGTGATGTTCTACTAATGAATGTTGCTCACATTCTGCTTGGTCAACTATGGCTTTATGACCACAATGTCATCAATCATGGTCGTGAGATTAACTATACCTTTAAGCATGAAGGCAAGATGACCATATTACGTCCTACTACGCTTGACAATGATGGCAAATGCTCAAGTAAATCAAAAGGCAAAAAACTTAAAACTCACAACATGCATCTTCTGACAGAAAAACAATTTGTGAAGGAAAGCAAAGAAAGTACAATTGTGTTTATTTTGGTGTCCCATATCTCACAACGAATTGCCACTATTTTATAAGTGCCAGAAGAGGTGCAACAGCTCTTAAAGCAATTCTAGGATATCACTCTAGATGAGCTTCTATCTGAATTACCACCAATGAGAGATATCCAACATGTAATTGATTTCATTTCGAGCTCACAACTCCCTAATTTACCGCACTACAAGATGAACCCTAAAGATAGGGCAAAGCATAACCAAGAAGTCAATGGATTGTTGGAAAGGGGTTATATCCAGCACAGTATGAGTCCTTCAGCAACACCTGCTCTTTTGACTCCAAAGAAAGATGACTCTTGAAAAATGTGTGTAGACAGCGAAGCCATCAACAAGATTACCATCAAGTATAGGTTTCCCATCCCTAAACTTGATGACATGCTTAATTTGATATCTGGATCTAGTTGATTTTCAAAAATTGACCTCCAGAGTGGTTATCATCAGATCAGGATTAGACTTAGAGATGAGTAAAATACTGCTTTTAAAACACAAGATGGGTTATTTGAATGGCTTGTCATGCCTTTCGGGTTATCAAACACCCCAATTACATTCATGAGAGTAATAACTCACCTCCTTCGCTCATACTTGAAAAAAATTTTGGTGGTATACTTTGATAACATACTAGTTTTTGGCAAGTCTAAAGAGGAACACTTGGAACATCTTGAGTAAATTTTTCTCACCTTGCCTCAAGAATAGTTTTATATTAACTTGCTCAAGTGTTCATTTATTCAAAATCAAGTCATCTTCTTAGGTTTTATAGTTTCCAAAAAGGGTTTAGCAGCTGACCCTGAGAAAGTCCAAGCCATTCGAGAATGGCCTGAGCCACAATCTCTCCATGAAATACGAAGTTTCCATGGCCTTGCTTGTTTATATAGACGCTTCATTAAAAACTTCAGTACCATTATGGCTCCTATCATTGACTGCTTAAAGCAAGACAAGTTCCTGTGAACTTTTATAGCATCCGTAGCTTTTCAGGATCTTAAGAAGAAGCTTTTTGAAGCTCCAGTCCTATCTTTACCAGATTTTACAAAGTATTTCAAAGTTGCTTATGATGCATTTGGGACAGGAATTGGAGGTGTTCTAAGCCAAAAGGCTCACCCTGTGACTTTCTTTAGCAAAAAGCTCAATGATGCAAAACAAAAATACTTCACTTATGACAAGGAGTTTTATGCGATTGTAAGGTCTCTTGAGCATTGAAAATACTATCTTCTTCCTTAACAATTTGTTCTTTACTCTGATCATCAGGCACTTAGGTTTATCAACTTTCAGTGGCACTTAAGTGCTAAACATGCTAAATGGGTTGAGTATATTCAAGAATTCACTTTTGTGGTCAAGCATTGTTCGAGAATAGAAAACAAAGTCGCTGACGCTCTAAGCCGACATATCAACTTGTTGCACACTATGAGTGTTAGTGTTATTGGTTTTGAAAACCTAAAGGAAGACTATGCTTCATGTCCAGATTTTGAGATAATATACCAAGAAGTTAACAATGGTAACCCTCATGAGCATGTTGATTTCATCCTTAAAGACGGTCATCTCTTCCGCGAAAGCAACCTGTGCATCCCACGTACTTCTATGCACAATTTTCTTATATGGGAGTTACACACTGGAGGTTTTGCCGATCATTTCGGGGTTAATAAGACAATGGCATTAGTCAAAGATAGGTTCTACTAGCCTTCACTCAAGCATGATATGGCTCGCATAGTGTCTCAATGTCGAACTTATCAAATTTCTAAAGCCAAACGGCAGAATCCCAGTTGGTATACTCCTTTGCCGATCCCCGAGGCACCTTGGAAAGACTTGAATATGGATTTTGTCTTAGGATTGCCTCAAACAACTAGAGGTCATGACTCTGTATTGGTTGTTGTGGACAGATTTTCAAAGATGGCTCACTTTATTCCTTGTAGTAAAGCTACAAATGCTTCACATTTGGCAAAGTTGTTCTTTAAGGAGATTATGCACCTACATGGGTTACTTGCTACTATCGTATCTGAAAGGGATGTTAAGTTTGTAAGCTACTTTTGGAAGACCCTATAGAAACTTTTTGGTACCCAGTTAAAGTTCTCTTCTGCTTTCCACCCCCAAATTGATGGACAAACTGAAGTTACTAATTGAAGTTTGAGTAATTTGCTTCGAGGTTTAGTTGGAGATAGGCTAAAGAATTGGGATTTGGTTCTACCCACTGCCAAGTTTGCATATAATAATTCGATGAATAGATTCACAGGCATGAGTCCCTTCCAGATTGTCCAAGGTTTTAATCCTAAATAGCCTATTGACATCCTGCCAATCCCGTTGACATTTCGCCTCTCTGAATCTGCAGAATCCTTTGCCAATTGCCTTCATGAATTACATGTTGAAATTAGGCACAAATTAGCAATGAGTAATGATCAATATAAATTATCTATTAATACTTACTGCCGATTTCAAAGTTTTAATATAGGTGATTATGTTATAGCTCAAATTCGTCCAGAACGTTACCCTAAACACGCTTTTAAAAAGTTGCATGCTCGAGCAACTGGACCTTTTCGCATAGCAAAGAAATTGAGACCTAATGCTTTTCTTTTAGAATTACCTCTCAATATGGCCATAAGTCCAGTTTGTAATGCAAAGGATCTTATGCCTTATCAAGGAACTTTTGTGCTTTTTGATGATTTTGCAGGTGCCAGTTTCGTCATTGCCAACTCTCTCACCACCAATTGAAGATATTGAGTCCATTATGGATGACCAAATGATCTTTACCTCTAAGGGACCCCTTCATCATTACTTAGTTCGCTGGAGAGGTCGTTCAAGTGAAGATACAACCAGGATTTCAAAAGATGAATTCCGACAACTTGATCCAACCCTGCTAGAAGCCTATCAACTCTCTACCTCTCTAAAGGAGAGTTCTTTGAAGCAAGGGGGAATTGATAAGAAATATGGAAAATGCTACTTTAGAAGATGATTATAGCTGTGTTACTTTTCAATTACTTTTGTTTGTCAGTTTCCTTTTCAGCAATTGGGAATATTTTACACTTTTGTTTTTAGCAAGTGGGTAGAGGTTTCCTCATGGAGAAGGAAACCTCATGCCTATAAAAAGGATGCTGAAATGTATTTGAGGGGAGAATTGATGGATGAATATCTGAAGCATTATGAGTTTCTGAAAGCTCCCTCTCTCCCTTCACTTCTGCATCCCTCTTCCCTTCCCTCTCTTTCTCTGTTTTCTGTCACATCTCTCCTTTCTTCTCCTCTGTTCTCACTCCCCTTTCACTTCCTACTCTCTGTTTCTGTCTCTATTCCCATTTCCCTTCTGTTTTGAGCAAGTGTGAGTATTTGTGTGTGTGTGTTACATCAAGTAGCTTAGGAAAGCAAGCAACAGAAACTCAGTACTTATAACAGTAGCTCAAATATGGTTGACAGAACACAGAGCAACCTCAAAAAACTTCATACACTTCAGTACAAAAGCATATATAGCATTAACTGATGTATTTGACAGAACACCAGTTCTTCAATTTAGGACAAAGTGTCTCTTGATTGTCGTCCATATGCATATGACAGAAATTGAGTATGTTTCTTTTCTTCCAAAAAAATATAAATAGAGTAAGTCCAAAAGCCCTACCTATCCATCTTCACCTTTTCCTTTTGTTTGAGTGAAGCCTTGAGAATAAACATATGCATATTCAGACCAAGTGAATACTATGTTGTGACAATTCCTATAGAAGAAAAAAACACAAACCTCCAATGTAGTTCAAGCTTTGAAACTGTTCAATAATTCTTTGTTAACTCCTCCCAATATGGATTTGGAGCCCAGAAGATCACTTGATCAATGAAACTGGTGGTAAAAGTCTTACTTGAAAACTCGATTCAGTGAGTGTCATCAGAGGTCTCTTGGCCATTGCTACCGTAAGTGCTTGAACAAGTAATCTTTGGCTACCTTTTGCTCCCTGATTCAAGAACACATGCCAAACATACATGACAACGTTTGAACTTAGTTATTGCAAGGAGTATCGTATTACTGCAACTTACCTACTATAACAAATACTTGACCTCTATCTCCCCCAATGGTCCAACACCATAATCGTGAATCTCAATTCCTTTTCATCACATGATAAACCAAAAATTGCTTACTATCTACTCATGAATAATAATTCATCTAACACATAGAAAATATCAAGAATAGAGGCTTACATTCCTTTTTGTCCACCATATTTCTTAGAGAAACCAAGACCATTCCAATACCATTCCCTTGTGATGGGTCAAAAACTAAAATTTGAACAAACAGTCACACGAATGCAGAAAAATCCATATGGAAGATAGTAAATATATCTATACTCTTTGTGCTTGTCTGCACCCCTCTAGAGCTCAAGCTTCAGAGCATCTTCAACCTTCAAATTCTAAGAGATCACCAAAATCAACATTTGTTCAGCTCAGATGAAAGTTTAGGATTATAACAACTTTTTCTTATTTGACCAAAAGAACAGAAATTCTCATCAATATTGAGCCTGAAGTTCCATAATAAAGGAGAGTTGAGTTGCTTTAAGTGAGTGCCTAAGAATTTGGGTAAATTGGTGATGGATTTGGGTCCATGGGTCAAGGGTTTGAGTCACTTAAAGAAAGGCCCAATGGGCTTTAAAAACTATTACTAAACAAGTGGGCACCATTATAAATGTCACAAACTATATAACAGGAATTGATTACTTTTTAACAAAGAGAATGGGTGAGTATTATGATACTAGAGATGGAAGTGAGCTCTAATACTATGACAAAAATTTAGGATTATCTTTTTCTTTCCTCAACAATTTTTGTGACATTAATTACCTCAACAAATCAAAGAAGTAAAAACAAGTAGAAGAGTTTCAAAGCCTTCAACCTCCACTTCACTTGGTATTTGTTTCCACATGGTCTTGTGACATTATCCTACGTAGAAACAAATATCAAAAAATAACTAGAATAAGTATAAGCCAATCCTATACACTATTTAAAAACAGATTAACCAAAAAAAATTACAAACCTCCCATTTTTCTATGTTTTAACATTATTCACTGATTCGTAGCTTGTTAGCTCTTCACCATATACCAGATAGATTGCAGTCTTCTTTATGGTATATTTGTGCGCAAAATTTACTATAACTTCCACCTCATTTTCTGGCTCCAAATTAGAAAGTATTTTCCTCCATTCATCCTCAGCATAAATTGTTGCTGCATCTTGCTTGTAGAATTCTATGGTAGCCTTTGTCAAATTCTTTATCATGAGACTAACTGGATATACAGTTGTCATGTTATCTTGAAGAGATGAATAAACAATATAGAGCACCACCCCTTTTAAGCAACGACCAGCAACTTGAGGCGCTTTAAATGATACTGAGGATTCTTCGTTTTCAAAAGCTAGCCAATCAGGATAATTGTCGCTTGGAAGAGAATAGTCAAGCCCTCCATCATTGAATCCCTATTCCACAAAAACAATAGAAGAGGCACCCTACTTAATTGGGAAGAGAGGAAAGATAAACTCGCTTGCATTGACACCTCTGAAGCATTATATAATGCTCGTACTAATGAAAAATATCAAGGTTTAATATTTGGCACACATGTTTGGTAATTTTTTATTATGCTTTTGTAGCACTTAAGGAGGAATATTGCTTAAGAATATACTGATAGGAGTGTTAAACCACCATTATTTTTAATTAAAAATACATTTGTTTTAGTTTATAAGGATTATTTGTAACAAATTAATCAAAAAAATAATTCCAGTATGATTTGTAAACTTAATATAATGATGCCTTCCAATTTCTTTTTTAAACTGGAATTTTTTATTAAACTTATATTTTATTTTGTAACTTTCAAGATAGTTACACATTTAGACAAAGAAAACATAATGCTGTTTAAAAGTATGATGTATGCTGTTATACACACGTGATACTGAGAAAAGCACACTGTATACTATTGCACATTCAAACTTCCGATATTGAGATAAATTATCAGTGGTTACTACAGAGATCAAGAGAGAACCTGTGAAATACTCTTCAAAAGTGTATCAGTAACATTGTTGAACCCACCAACCTGAATAGATAGAGAATTCAAAAAATTTTCCGACCTTTCCTTGTGAACTTCTTCATGAAAACCAAGTAATGTTGGAGTTTTTTTACATGAAGCTTGAGATGTGCTTGGTCTTGCTTCTATTATTTCATAGCTTCTGGCAAAGAAAGGATGAGATAGACCCTTAATTAAAGATGGTATGGTACTAAATGATCGGAACAAGGACTTTGAATAGATAGTTGGCGACATCCAAGACAAAACTAGAGAAGGAAATGCATCACGTGATAATCCTTCATAGCCACATAGAGATACATATTTCACACTTTTTAATCTCACTAGCGAGTAGGGAATTTGTGTTATAGCAGTTTGATTTGCCACCAAAGTTGTCAAGGATTCCATTTGCTCGATGTCTTCTTCCAACTTTCTAATCTTTGAACAACCAGAAAGGTTGAGAGTTTTCAAAGATTTCAAGTTATATATACTTCTTGGGAGATGGTTGAGACCTTTGCAATCCTTTAAATTTAGCAAAGTAATACATTTGAGTTCTCCAATGGAGGGGTGAACCATAGACAAACATGAACAATCTTTAAGTAATAACTTTTCAAGAAATGGTAGCTTCGAAAAGTCAGGTGTTTGTACCAAGTAATGGGAATGACTCAGATTGAGAATTTTCAACCACTCTAACATCTGTGCAAAGAGAATAGTTTCAAATAAAGTCATAATAAATGTAAACAACAAAATAAGTAGAAACAAATTAATACAAAATATATATTGTCACCAGCAAATAACTTCAAAAATCCAATGCAATTCATTACAAATACCTAGCTTGTCTCCCATACTTTGGTGAGATTACTCCACTTTAAGTCTACAATAACCACCTTTTCTAGACTTAAGTTAGGCGGCATGCTTTCCAAGGGAAATCCATACCAACAAAGCCATCTCAATTCTTTAGATAGAAAACAATAGTCTCCAATAAGTTGTACATGATCAAATTGGAGTAAACGAAGCCTCCTCATCCCCTTGAATGCTTTGGTACTCAAGGATAATGAATTGTTTCTTGACAAGTTTAGAGCCAATCCCTTGATAGCTATTGTTCCCTATCAAAAGGAAAGAAGAGGGGAATGGCATATCACTAATGGAAAAGCAATATAATGCAAATAAGAAATGATGCCAACAATTGACAATCAAAAGATAGAGAGTGCATAATAAGTGATGAAACAAGTTTTAAAACTTAGATGCACAAACTAGCAAAATAGTACAATTAAGCCCTTGAGAAACAATTGACCAGCAAAAAACAAGTAATTGAGAAAAATACTTACTATATTATTTCTCAGCACATCCAACACATCATCATGCAAAAATAATTGAGTACGCTTCTCAGGCTCCTCCGGTGACTGCTCACGAATGATTTCTTTTCCCATGTCACATAGTAAGTCATGCATGTCAAGCTTATTTTTGTTGTTAATTTTTACAAGGCTAAGCTCTATTAGACGATTAATTCCAATTTCAGCATGAAGTCCACAACCATTTAATATTTGTGCAGCATAGCTTCTATCTTTCCCAACAAAAAAACAACATATGTCAAGAAATATCTCTTTCTCTGTATGGTCACCCAAACCATCAAAACTTATTTTTAGCTTTTCATGTATTCTATCATTTGGAATTCGTTGTAATTTCTCCAAAACACTTTCCCAAAAGGTTATTTTCTTATCAAACAAATAAGAGCCAAGGACTTCAAGAGCTAGTGGCAACCCTCCCGTGTAAGAAGATACCCTTCTTGAATGTTCAATAAAATCTTGTTCAGGGATAGCTTGCTTAAACGCATGCCAACTAAAAAGTTCAAGAGATTCATTGTCATCCATTTCTCTCATACTATATACATGATTGACTCTTAGGATCTTAAGCAAACGTTCATCTCTTGTAGTGATAATTATTCTACTCCCTGGCCCAAACCATTCATGACTTCCGCACAACACTTTGAGTTGGTCTTCATTATTCACATCATCAAGTACAAGAAGCACCCTCTTTTGACAAAGCATTTCATGGATTAGAGTTTTCCCCATTTCTACATTTGGTAGTGTTATCTTTCTTGTTTTTAAAATTCTTGAAAGAAGTTGTTCTTGCAAATAAACTTGGCCATTATCTTGCTTCCAAACTTCCCTTATATTCGCAAGAAAACTCTTTCCTGCAAAACTTTGACCAATTTCATTGTAAATGGCTTTAGCAATGGTTGTCTTACCAATCCCTCCCATCCCCCAAATCCCAGCCATGATAACCTCATTTGATTTACTAGTTAACAATTGGATGATATCTTCCACACGAGATTTCAATCCCACTGGGTGTTGAGCAACAAACAGGTGCTTGTTATCATGTAACTTCAATGTAATAGTTTCAATAACATCATCAATCAATTGAGTTTCAGTTCTGGCAACAAGAGGATAGATAACAATAAATTTTACAAAGAATCTACAAAATAAATAGTACGAACTATAAAACCAACAAAATAATAGGCAACAATCGAAAGTCCTTACATTTTGAAGTACATATAATTACTTTATAATTCCTCTCCAACAAACAAAAATGAAATTTGTGACAAAAAAAATTATTAATCTGTATGAAAATTTGTGAGACATTACTCCATCATAAATTAGGGCATCACAAGATTTTTGCAACAGATTTGTGAAATTTCCATCACAAATTTTCGGTTTTTTATTAGTTCTCCATAATGTAAAGGGTTCAAAAGCACCAATTTTATGATGCTACAATTTCTTAAAAAACAGGGCTACAAATTAAGAAGGTTCGAATAGAATAATTTAATGAAAAGGAATGATAAAACAAATGTATTTGTTTATATCATCCCATAACAGTACATATTAAAAATCAAGTGTGCATCTTCAGTAACTAACAGCATAAATTACATATAACCCTCCTGAAATTTGAGTTTTGTTCAAATGGCCTCCAAACCTATAAAATTTGGCTAGGAACACCCTAGAAGTTTTAATTTATACAGATGACTCCCTTGTCGTTATTTTCACAAATAAAATATAAAACAATAAAGAGTTTATCTATACATGACTTCAAATTAATAAGAATCATTTGCAAATGATTCAAAGTTTAAGGGGATTTATTTGCACAAAAATAACATCAATGTTGTACTATGCGTCATCAATGAACATGAAATAACAGACCCATTAATGGAAGAGAATTATTTGCACTTCACTTTTCCGAGAGTGTTAAGAACCTGCAGGCAAGCTAATGTTCTTTATATAGAAGAAATGTCAAAGCCCCACAGTATCCGGCTAAGTTTTCTCACACATTACACTCTTTCATTTTTTTCCTTCACTCTTGCTTATATTTCAACCCAGTTTATTATTAATAAACAAAAATGTGTAAAACCCAATTTAACCCCCATGTTCTGTTGCATTGACTTTTTTCTGTTGGCTGAGCAGATTTTTGTTGCATTGAATGTTAAAAAGATCTAGCAACACTTTGTGCAATTGTTCCCCTTAATTTTCTTTCGATCTACTAAACAGTTTTTTGGTTTCTTTCTTTTTTTTTTTTGGGTAACATGTGGTTCTAATTATTTAGAGGTAATAAAGTCCACGCAGCTTAATGATGGATATTTGTGATAGATTTGTTACAACCAAGTTTTTTTTTTTCTTTTCTGTTTTTGAAAGTGCTTTCGTTGAGGCTTGTATAAATAAAAGGAACACAACATTACTTATGAGAAAAAAGGAACTTGTGGAATTCAAGCATTCAAAACAATAGTTAAAAGCACAAACAATTATAAAATACCTGTAGTTTTGCATATCCCATCCAGATAAATTGGCAGCTTCAGTGAGGGCTCTACGCAAATTGATTGTCAATTTCTTAGCTTTGCTAGTTGAAGGTCTTGTTATAAGCCTCTCCCATGCTTTTCCAAAGGCATTCTGTTGTTTACGAACTTCAGATGGTCGCACATCATAGAATATAGGGAAAACCTCTTGATAAATTTTGTGGCACTCCATGATTTTCTCTAATTCTTGCAAGCACCAACTAGAGCCAGCATAATTTTTTGAGAATATAATGATTGACATCCTAGAAGTTTCAATTGCCTGTAGAAGTGAGTGTGAAATAATTTCTCCCCTTTCAATCCTTTCTTCATCCATGAAGACTTCAATACCTGACTGTTTAAGAGCAGTACAGAGATGAGTAGTAAATGCTTTACGTGTGTCTTCCCCTCTAAAACTCAGGAACACATCATATAAATATTTGAGCTTTGGCTTATTAGGACTGATTCCCTTTCCTATCTCTTGCAACAAATTGTGAACATGAATCTTGCCATTCACAATCTTTACAAGGCTTCGGTTAATGATTTCATGCATTGCCTTTTCTACTGGAAATCTCAAGCCCTTTAATAATTGTAGAACATTGTGTTCACTTTGATCCACATAGAAGCAAGCTATATTGTAGAACAAATCTTTCTCTGAATCAGTTAAAAAGTCAAGGCTTATCCTGAGCTTATTTTGTATTTGACCATCTGGAATTTCTTTCAATTTATGCAATACTTTTTTCCACTCTGATTTTGTCCTGTCATGCAAAAGGGAGCCAATAATTTCAAGAGCTAGTGGTAGTCCTTCACAGTAACTGATTGCTTGCATGGAAAGAACCAAAAAATCATTTGTTGGACTTAATTTCTTAAATGCATGCAACTTGAAAAGCTCGAGAGACTCACTCCTGTCCAACGTTTTCATTTCATATAATTTGAATGTAATGTCAAAACCAAACCACTGTAATATACCATCAAGTATATCCTTATCTCTTGCTGTAATGAATATCAAACTCCCCTTGCCAAACCCCACTTTACTTCTCCACAATGCCAAGAGTTGGCCTACTTGGGTTACATCATCAAGAACTAATAGTGCTCTTCTATTGTGTACTTGCTTCATTTGATCAATTGACACTTCAACATCACTTATCTCATCAAGTTTACTTTTAGAAATATCTGAAATAAGTTGCCTTCGTAAAAGAACTAGGCCTTTATCTCTCTCCCATGAATCATTGATATTTTCAAGGAAACTTCTACACTCAAAATTGCCTCCAATTCTATCATAAATAGCTCTGGCAATAGCAGTTTTTCCAACACCTCCAGTCCCAAAAATTCCAATTACGACCGTATCTTTCAAATGAATGTATTCCCACTCCAACAAACCAAGCACTTCTCTCACACGAAGTTTTAAACCTACTTGATGATGTGGAAGATTGCGAATCAATTCCTCACGAAGGCATACAAATAAATAGGTGATAAGGTCACTAATTTCTGTACCACCTCTGCTGGCCAATTAAAATTAGATTAGAAAGAAAGAGTGTATGCATGAATTATTAAAAGATACAAGATAAACATGCATATAAAATAAATTTTAATAGCCAATCCCACCTAGTGGGATAAAGCTTCTTCTTCTCCTTGTTGCTGTTGTTGGATAACCACTCTTAGTTGCTTCATGCTTATAATGGTCTATAATGCTAGTTTAGGGTTCAATTTTAGCTAAAAGCATCTCTTGATAGGTGTATCGATTGAATTAACTTCGAATGTATTAGGTGATTATTGCATGGACTAACAACATACCTAATTTGACTATATATATGAATGTTTATGATTTTATAATTTTGACTTAGTTAGTTAGGATGACAAGGGGATATAGCCATTATGTGTCAATTTAGTTTAGTCGTCAGTCCCCATAAAAACCCCTGCAATTGAATCGTAAAGCAAGGATGGCAGATTAATGAAACTCTAGTATTATTCAGTATCTCTTATCTTCTATCTTCTCTCTCTAATCTCTCTCAACCTCCTTCTCTAACCCTTCTGTTCTTCTCTCAATCTCTTCATCTATCTTCTTCCTATAATCCTCTGAAATTACAATCCTACAACAGTGGTATCAGAGCAAATGCTCCTCGGCCACCCTCTTTTCCCTTCTACTCATCTTTCCAGTTTATGGTAAAAACAAGAAATCAGACCCAACAAGAAATGGATGAAAGACTGCACCAGGTCAAGCAAAGACTTACCAAGTTAGACACCATTGACACACTCAGTGACCAAGTAATGGGTCTTTCAAACCAAATCCAACTTCTGATGCGTGACCGAGAAATAAGAATACCCAACAGATATCTTCCTATAACTAACTCTAATTAACTAACAGTAACTAACCTCCCTCTCAATATTACAATTACATAACAATGAAGCTGGTAGGTACATGTCTATCATACAATCAAATCATTTCACCCATCATTGTGTGTGAATTTCATGAAGGCACACAATCTCCCCGTAGATCTGGCACACTATCACTTGCTTAATTAGAAAACACAAATTAATCACTTAGTAGCGTCCATAAACAAGAAATTATTAAGCACACAAGGAGATAGGCATGCATATACCATTTTTAGAGAAACACAATGAAGAAAACATATACTAAACTATAAATAAAGCTACAATTATTTTAGAACAAGAGTTTAGCTACACATTTAGTGAATAAGATACAATCAAAACCGATTGAAACAGGTAAATAGGGGGCAAAAATGTCGAGATCAAACTTGTGTGTGTGTGTGTGTGTGTATTTTAGAACAACTATTACCCCAAATCAACTGATAGTATGAAGCCAGATAGCGAAGCAACTTCCTCGATAGCTTTACTTGAATCCGATTTGCCATAAGCTGATCTTCTCCGATGAAAGTTAAAAAGGAAAAGAAAAGAAAATTAATTTTTTTGGTTGAAATTTGAATCAACTTTTTTAAAATTTTTGTTAAAGGAATAATACAAATTGAATTTCATGATTTCGGCAAGATAGCTGGTAAAGTGCAAAAACGGGAGGAGCAATGCCAATAAAGTATTAGTTATCACTTACCTAACTCCTGTAGTGAAGCCGAAGCCACTGTGAGGGAGCGAAGTAACATTGGTGGCTTCTCTTGAATACTTACAGCCAGCGGCTGATTTTCCCCAATCCAAATCCTTCAACTTGTTAAGCAATTCCCCATGGGTCACTCCGCAGAACACTGGCAAAACTTTTTTTCTCATAGCGTTGTGATACCACATAATTGTGGTCATCAGTCGCTTAAGACACATCCGAGACTCGAGAAACTCTGGTGTGAAGAAGACCACCACAACTCTTGACCTTTGTATGGTCTCGTGTAAGGAAAATCCCTCTTCTTCTTCATCAACGAAAACGGAAATTCCAGCATCTCTTAGAGAGCTTTCAAGATGTGGTTTTAGGCGACCGTAGGGATCTCTCAAAGTTAAGAATACATCGTATTTGTAAGTCATTTTGTATTCGGAGGAAGATGAAGAAGCCGAGTAGGAGGAGGAGGAGGAAAGCGGCGTGGTTGCTTGCAGAACGCAGATGGAGACCCTAGTGATGACAATTAAGGACCCTTAAGGTAATTAATTTCAATTAAAGACCCTCAAATATTGAAATTTTAATGAAGGACCATGGTCCTTCCTTGAAATAAAAACATTCATAACTTTATAAAATTATACTCTACTAAATACCAAAATGTACATAACATTGTTGAAGTTATTATCATGATATGAGAATAATATTAATATCAGTTAAGAAAGCAAAGAACCACACTTAAGAATAAATTATTTTTCAATATGAAAAAACTCATTTTTAAAACATTTTAAGATCACTTACGAATATATAAAAGTGACTTGTAAATTGTAATGACCTAAAATTTTAAATAATAATAATTATAAATTAATTAATTAATTAAAATTTATATGAGGTATTAAAATATATTTTTATTTTTTGGGAAACACATAACAAGAATGATATGGTGATTTAGTGGAAATCCTCTTGGTATTCAACTTCCTAGTCTGGGTTCAAATCCTTAAACAAAACAAAAAATAGGAGCTCATTTTCTTCAACCCTATGAAATTACTGTACTACCCTTAAACCATTAGAAATTTGCATTCCCTTCTCTCCTTTACCAACAATACATGTTCTAACCATGGAAAGAGAGCCAGGGACATTTATTTCAGAAGCTTCAATCCCTATAGCCGACAATCTCAATCCTCTACCTCATCTAGTTGTTGTCGTCGCCGATATTGTGGGTTCCGCCATTCAAGCTCCTTCCTTCTCTAATTGAATACACCGGTGTCGACTGTGGTCCTTTAGTTTGTGTGGCTGTGTGTGTTCAAATCTCCTTCTCCATTCATCTGTGTTCTTGTACGTCGCCATGGTGTCCGTATTACGTGGGTGTGTTTGACCTTCCTCCCCTTCTATTCCAACTATGCATCATCAATTGGTGCAGCAGGTGGTTCACTGTTGTTATTGGTGTAAGTCACCAGGTTTGTCTCCCTTGTTCTGTTTGTTCTGTTGGCTTCTTCCTTTCTCTAGGCATTATTGATGAAGGGTGCTTAGAAGAGAAGCAATTCGATTGAAGTTATAAGAGGTAAACTTTAAATTTTGTGAACATATCAGATAAGTCAACAGTGTCTCAATTACTCTTTAGCAAATTCATTTTTATAAAAATATTGATTTCCCATATTTATGTGCCGTCTCTTTTATTTATACAACCCTTTTTATTCCGCAAGAACAAACGATAAAGTATTTTAATTTATTTATTTATCTATTTTTGGTTCATCATCTTAATTTTTTTATCAACTATCATACATGAAAATATTTTTATTATATTATATTATATTATACAAAAATAGTTGGATTTATCTTTCAATTGAACATCTAGAAGTATCTGCTATGTTGAAAATGTTGATTTTATGTTTAAAGAACAATTTAACTATCATGATTTATGCATGAGATATATATACAAATGAATTCATTTATGCCGAATATGATGAGAAATGTTAAAAAGAGATGATATATTGATTTTATCGACCTATGCATGTTTGATTTAAAGTGTGGGATTGAATCAGAATGCCATTAGCTCTTGGCACACCATGATACACCTAGCTAGTAGGATACTCAGGAGTTGTTAACCCTATACGATGGCCAATGCATGTGAAATGAAGGGATAATTATTCGTAAGCATAATACTCACACTTGTTTTCGTGGGTCTTATGCTTACAATTAATTTCATGGGATTTATACTCGTACTTATTTTCGTAGCTTTGAGTTACGCTTGTTGGTCATTTACCCTTATAAATTGTGTGTTCATGCTTATTAATCGTTCTAATTAAGTCCTATTAAATAATGAATTTTGAAAATTAATCTTTCTTAAAATTTAGTCTTTTAAAGCAAACTATTATTTTACCATATTTGAATTTTGTATTGAGCTATATAATTCCCAAAGTGTTTAAAAATGTTGATGTTTAAAGCAAAACTTGAATTTCTAATAAAGTTGTAATTAAATTCATGTGTTCATAGTTTTTTTACATTTACATAACTGTTGACATATATACATATATTTATGTAAGGTTTGTGCTATATTATTCTCAATTGATTATTTTAATAAGTTTATAAGAAACTCAATGATGTACCTTCCATTATTTTCATCAACTATAATTGGAATGTTATTAACTAGAGAATTGTTTAGTCTCAAATAGTATAACTGACATTGCATGTCCTACCGACCACTGAGGGACTTTTTGCGGAACGAGGTGAAATTTTGTTTTGTAAATATCTCTTTTTGATGTAATTATGAAATTTATGTATTATGTTTTAAAAACATGATTAAGTGTTCCATATAGGCTATATTTAGGATTCTTATTTGGTTATATACTCTATCCACTGGCTGAATGGAGCTGTGCTCCTAATTTTTGTGATATTCTGGTTGTAAAGTACAAAAAAACTATATTGTCGAATTTTTGGGAGATCATACCTATAAGGGAGGTATTGTTGAAATTCTTACAAAAATATTAAGGCTTTTGTTTAAATATAAATTTATCTAGGATTTTCTAATTTTAACATAAATATAATTGAGTATTAAAAAATGTTTTGAATTAAGACTCAAGAGATATGTGTTTTGTACACATATCCCATGTCGGCCACTCTTATATTTCAAGATATGACATAAATTTACTAGCTTTACTAAAGAATATGAACCTAATAATTTGTCAAATTTTATGATTATTTACATATAGTTACTACTTGAAAAATAAAAAGATGACACCACTGAAATCATTATCGTGGCATGGGAATATTATTAATATTAATTGAGAAATAAGGAACCGCACTTAGAAATAAATTATTTTTCATTATAAAAGAAACTTACTTTTGAAACATTCCCAGGTCACTTATAAATATACAAAAGTGACTTGAAAATTTACTAACTTCACTAAGTCATTTAAGTGTGTATTTGATTTTCAGTTTGATAAAAATTCATTTGACAAAAGTCAGTTGTTGTAATGAAATTTATATTTGAATACATTTTTTCAAAAGTCAATTTGGCAAATTAAAAATTGTTTGGATTAATAAAAATTTATACTTTTAAAATATACTTTTTAATATGTAATGACCAAAAAGGACATTGATTTATGATAATTTATAATTTTTATTATGCAAATATAATATATTAGAAATGTTTAAAAAATGTGAAACAAATTTAAAATAACATAAAATTCAAAATGTTAAATAATAAGAAAAAGAATATAAAATTTAATATTGAAAAAAATTATGTAATAAATAGTTAAACATTCATTAATATTGAATAGTTACATGATTAACGGTTCGATCTATAATATACAATCTGATTTCAAATAGAATCCTGAACCCTATTCATCTTTCTCTCAAAAGCTACACTTGAAATTGTACTTGAAATTGTTGATAAAAATGCATGCTTGTCATTATCATTGTTAGTGTTAATCATATTTTCATCCTCAAAATACCTAAAGTTAAAATCAGTTATAGATTTTTTTCTAATAAAATTATGTATAGCCATTGTTGCACCGACCATACGAACTTGTGTCACAAATGGATAGCTAGGTATGTGTCGTAAGATTGCGAATCTGTTTTTCCAAACCCGAAAGTTCTTTCAATCGTGGTCCTTAAGCTTGAATGATAATAATTAAAAACCTCATTATTGTTTGCAAATCCAGATGGACACCTGAAATCTAGGAAGTGATACCTATGAGATCTATAAGGACCTAAATATTCATGTGACATTAGATAGCCGGCATCTAACAAATAAAATTTACTTACTAATAAAAAAATAAATATTATAAGATCCCAAAAAATATTGAAAAAATTATTTTAAATTAGATAAATATGAAATATACCTTAGGGTGGATGTGAAAATTTCATGTCCGGCCTTGTGAGTGCATGGTCAAACAAATGAGCATCATGGATAGTCCCTTCCCATCCAACCATGACATAAGTGAAGTGCATATCCCAATCACATGTGGCCATTATATTTTGTATTGAAATACCTTTCCTTTCAATATATTTCCCTTGCTCTTCAACATTGACCACACATAAGATATGTGTTCCATCAATTGCTCCTATGGCATCTTTAAAGAATGGCCAATATCGTGAATCACCTAAAATTTTTAGATGAATATCTTGAAAAGTGTGATCTTCTGGTTAGATATATTCCTTTGCTAGCTTATCACAAGTATGCAATACATTTCTAAAATGTTTGTAAACAATCTCTACTGAATGTTGAAATCGTTCTTGTGCTATCCTATTCCCCACTCCATGTCCAACAATATTTAAGAACATACTGACCATTTCATGAATCCCTGTTCTTCTTGTTAGATGCAGACCATATTGCACTAGTTCATCAAAAAGTTAAAGAAAAACATCTTTTTCCATACGAAACATGTCATAACAATGTTGAGGATGCCCTTGCAAAATTTCTTACACCCATGTATGACCTGATTATGAGCTGGTTTTACAAGGCTCTTTCAATAAAGTTGTTAAGTAATTAGATACTATTGCAGTAATAGCCTCAACCTCATCATCTTCTGCATGTACAAGTAATTGTAATAAGCAAGACTGTGTACTTTCATCCATAAAAACTGCATAACATAATTTAACAACTATTACACTATTATTCATGACTTGACATTAAAAGCACATAAAACAAGAGTCAAATAACACAATCAGTTTCAAAACAAAGTTAACAACATAAACAGCACTAGTTAGATTTAAAACATTGAGAAGGCAAACAAGGATTGATCTAATCTACTTTTTTGCCCAAGCAATTCAAATAGGCCACTAATGCTCTTCTATTGTCCTAAAGCCCAATATACATGTCCCTTGCAGTCTTATCAAGCAAGGCCACAGCATACTATCCAAGAAGCACCTCATCAAAAGCAATCTTCTCGATTCCATAAAGTTCCTTTGCATCATCCACCATATTTTGATCAACTGGTTTTGTTTCACCCTGTATGGAATTAAGAATTGACTTTAATGTTGAAA